TGTATGTATGTAAGTGTATAAATAAATTCGGTGGCCTCATCATACATTCATACTTCATTTTTTGGCAAATTCTGATCTAAGCGACTACATTTTAGCTGCTGCTATGTTTCAAAACTATGAGTAATTTTTGACTAATGAGTTTAGTCTAAAGTTCTTATGCCGGCCAATTCATCTTCGGCTACCGATGCTGCCAATTTGAGAATCCTTTGCAATACATTTTTTTGTAATCAAAACTTAAATTGGCGCAAATTACTAAGAGGACCCTCGAAATCCACTCTTTTTTCCATATCTAGGCCTGCCTCTGGAGGACAAAAGCAGTCGGAGGTGTCATACTTGGGACGTGGTACAACTCGTCGAAGTGACCCGTCTAAGGCGATCTTCACCAATTGTCTGTTAAACTGGTTTATCATCTCTCCTACCTACTTTCTTAGCCATAGGGCCGTATCTTCATCCCTTATTTCCATTTCAGATAGTGCTTTTTCCTCTTCATATAGCTCAATATTCCAGTTTGTCTTCAATATCTTCCAGGTGCGTCCCTTCAAGTGAGTTTCATGAAACGTAAATACTTTCACTCGACCATCGTGTCTTTCGAGTCCCTCGAATGAGGTTATATTCACATGACCAACCAAAACATGGACGGCTGGGAAGGTACCAAGTCAAGGTTATAATGCTAAAACGAGGTCAAACTAATATATAGATATGGATAGATATATGAGGAAAACTGCTACCAACTTTCTCCTCATATATACAATTGGCTTACAAAGTTGCAAAACCTTTTTGATGTATCCAGGAAGATCTGACTGGACTTGATCCGGAGCTCTTTGTTCCACTCAATCGGAGTTCCGTAGGAGAAGACTTTGCCCACCAGTTCGAAGTGCTTCCTCACTGAAAGAGAAGAGAGGAAAAAAGGTATGAGCACATTTAGGAGCCTTCTTGTAGGCAAGACCTGAAGCAACTCTGGACCGAATTTACATGTTGGAATGTGCTCGTTCTCCCGACGCCTCACCGGGGCTCGGAAGCTTGGCCCCCTTGACCACCGGTGGCCAGGAGTAGGCCATCCGACCCCCATTTAAAATTACTAAAATGAGATAGCACTGGGGCGACAAATAGTGTAGTCAGAGGTCACGAAAAAGGATGCGATTTCGGCGGTTGTAAAGGATAATTAAATGGTCGCATCATAAACTACTGTTATCATTTCAGCGACCACAGCAAGTTTAATACACGGTTGAAAGTCACTGCTGCTGAAGCTGGCACCTCCTGTCCTTTCAGAGGCTCAGTTACGTCTACAACATCAACAGAAGATTATGGCTGTCGCATCTCTTCATTCCACTTCATATGGTCAATTTATCCTTTGCGTCTTGGTTTTGTCCAATAACTTCTAAGAGTGTGTCCCTTCAAGTTGATCTCGATCCCAATTGGCATGTCAACACAGCCATCCGCTTCCATCAGCTGCACTTGGGAATCCCTGTCCGAGTAGGAAGACAGGTAGACCATATGAAGGGGGATTGAGTACAACAGGAGTGCAGAAAATTGGTCAACAAAACGAGGCCAGGGAAGGTGTCTTAAAATGTGTCAAGTCGACAGATTGATGCCTAGAGAGGGGGTATGATTGGTTCATAGAGGATGGATCTTTGAGGGCATGATAAATACCTCTTGTACACATGAGCTTGATTGTCGTTTGAGACGACTTCACAAACGAGAGGGCAACAAGCGGCGACAAGGTTCGTGTGTGCCTGTGTTCTCGATGGTTGGACTGTCTGTCTGACTGACTTGTGATAGTCGGTATCATCCTCTGAGGGGTAGGTTTAAAGAGTCTACACTCGCCGGTTGGCAGATTTCACTTTGGTATGGATAAGAGTTTGAGCCGATTGACAGTCTTCGCACTTTGGATGTGTAGTCACGGCGACCTCGATGAAAGCACATTGTCCGTAGTCCTCTGCCCGCAGTAGTTGTGGCAATTTCCAGCATCGGACAGTATTTCTGGGATAGTCCCTAGGCTGGAATTTCTCACGGTTATTATGGCAAAGGACTCTGGACAAGATGAGTTCATCCGGGTCTCTGACATTACTGCAAAGTTGTGAAAACGAAAGGAGAACGTTACCATAGCAAAAGCCTAACGAAATAGGTCTCAATGCCCTCGATCGAGCTGTTTCAAGTGACAATGCCAACTCACTTATTCATATTTTCCATTGTAAGTGGGTTTACGAGATCCCCAGTAGAATGTGAATAAGAACTGTGTTCATTCTATTTCGTTTGAGGGGATAAGCGACTGGTAGTTGAATTTTTCCACGATGACGGGAGTAGGCCTCACGCCGACAGTTAAGCTCTTATGCCATTACTCCATAAAAGTTATTCTCATCTGGAATGGGCTGCACGGGTTCGAGTCCCGCTGGGAGTGAGGATGAGATCTAGGCGAGGTCGAAACGGCTGTCCATCCTAGCTGAGATGAGAATGTCTTTTGGAACGCTAGGCTATGTGAATTTCAATGTAAACGTGAGGAAACTTCAAGTACCAGTCCTTAATCGTCTTAAACGAAATAGGATAAACACAGTTCATGTTCATATACTTATAGTTAGTCGGCTTCGAGATTGTTAGAAGCAAGCGGATAAGAGCTGCAGTCACCTCAGTTGAATTTTCCCACAATAGTAGGACAATATCTTAGGTTAACATTGAGAATAGCATTTTGGGAGGCATTCAATTCAATTCAATTCAATTCAGTTCAAAGGCAGCTTAGGGCCTACTGATCTAATTGTGCGTAAATTCAATTTTCAG